AGAAGAGTCAGCTGGCAAACAGATTAGGATCTTGGGTCCATTCCCTCTAACAAGGACAGCTCAAGGGAAGTGACCGAACAGTGGCATGGTCCTCCCCTCCCATTAGCCTCGTCTGCAGGGCTCAGTCAAAGGTCTTTTTATTACTGTTCTCTGCTCCAATTAAAACATCCTACAGATTGTGCTTGGCAGACTCTCAACGGCATCCAGAACTAAAGCCAGTTAATGGGATACAATCAGCTAGGTTCAGGGCTTGAAGTAAGCCAGAGGGGTAGGGAGCGTTTGCCAGCTGCAGAGTGCCAAGTCCTATGGTCTGCCCATTTTAATTCTGGCTGTTAATTGCTTTCCAGAAGCACCCACAGGTCCCAAGTGACAATCAGAAGCCAGTGGCCAAAAATGCACATGCCCAGAGCAACAGGAAACCCAGTTTCAGAGAGCCACATGGCCCCCTTGCACCTGGGGTGTTCCCATGGACCAGAAAAGGGCAGCAGGGGCATAGTGGTGCCCTGTGCCGGTGGATTGTTGTCAAACCACCACAGTGGCCTCGAGTACAAAGTGTCCCCCGCCAACTGAGCATTGCTTATTGTTATCTAAGGCCTGCTGGGCATCTTGCACACTCTGATGGGATTGCTTGGGCTGACTGGGAATTCAGTCCTTGCAGGAGCTGTTGTAGATACATCAGCTATTTTCTGATGATCACCACATCTCTGATGTCTGCAGAGAGCGGTGCTTTGCAGAAGGATTTCCACCAGCAGCAAAGCAACCAAGTAGCATTTCTCTGGGGTGCAAAGGAGGAATTAGAAACAAACAAAAGACGTAGTTGCCTCATACACTAAGAAACAGTGTCTGAAGTGATGGAAAGAGATCTGTGTCCACGAGTTTCTGCATGACAATTGAAGCCTAATAATACCCAGAAAAGAGATATCTTAGTACCCCTATGGAAGGGGAGAGGGAAAAGAGTCACAGCCCAATTCCCACATTATTTGGCTTGTGGGGAAAGCATCTAGCACAGGGTCTGATGACCCCTTTGTCAGGTCCCAGGCAGGACCATGACCCCTTTGATAAATTTAGTCCTGCCTAGGGAGACGGAGGTGAGCTGCGACATTGAGCTGTAACATATGAGCACTGCTGTGGGAGAAGGAGAGATGAGGTGAGCAGGGGATGCCCTGATAAACTCTTTGGTCCTGATAGATGAGCACAGGCTTGCAATAATGCAAGGGCTGGACAGCAAAAGAAACAAGCAGATTTGAATCAAGAAATGACCAGTCTGATTTCTTCACACAAGCTGAAAGGAATACAAGGCGTGGACCAGCCCCTGATGAAAATAACGAGTGATTCACACCACTTTGGAGGCTGTAGGATCCAGCAATTTTCTTTCCAGATCAGCTGTAATGGCAAGTGAATTTGATTTTTACGACTCATTCACTTTCAATGACCTATGACTGTCATTAATGACTGAGTTAAGGACACAACTTTTAGATAGAAAAGTTTTATGTTGACAAGAGGGTCTTTGTAGTTGCTTCCTCTTGTTTGTTTTGGTTTTCTTTTCATTTCCAAACATATACATTTTCCTTATTGTTTCTGACACCTGTCAGCAAAAAGCACAGCCTTGTAGATCTCCTGCCATTCCTGACCAATGTGCAGGGAAACGACTCTGCATGCTGTGTGGGAACTGTGCCAGCAATTCCAAAGATCAAGAAGGGAAACAGATAATGCAAATAAATCATAATGCAGATAAATCATAGGTACAATGGAAGACTATAGGGATTGGTGGCCTTAACCTCACCTAGACCAACAAGAATCAAAGGTTAATGCAGGTGTCACTTGAAAGCTAATTTTCTATTGATTTGCAAGTAGGTCCCTGACCTACTGACCTTTGTGATACAGGAAACGGGAAATCCCCTGGAGCAGCATGTGTGCAGGCAAGTGTGTTATTTACTTTGGTAGTCCCTTTAGTATTTATAGGCCCAGGCAGGACCAATAGAGATAACCTAAGGAATGTGGTAGCCCTTGTAAAGATTTCTGTCTCACACTTAAATATTTGGGCAGCAAAATAGCAACCTTGATCATAATTTGACAGAAGAAAACCACAAGGGTGCTGCCTGATTTCTACATCCTCTTATAGGCAATAAAAAACACCCATAAATAATTTCCATGCAATGCCTCAGGAGCTCCTTGCAAGGGTCAGTTCAAGACTCGCTGGACATGATTCATGTTGTACAGAGGTGTAAATCCATACAGTTCTGCAGAGCTGTTCCTGGGGTGCATGGTGGGAGGGGTTGGATGAACTGGATTCAAGAGCACACATCAGCATGGTGTTGCTGGTGAGGGCCATGGTTTGGGCTGGTCTGGTGAAGCACCTCCAGAGGCTCAGCTCTGAGCACCAGTCCCTGGCTAGACAGGTTCTTGAGTTTGGAGCCAGGAAACAACAGCAAATCTTCTGTGGCTTGGCCATAGATTGGAAACTGTATAGTTAGAAAATTTCCTCCTGTTTCTTCAGTAGGAAATTTGGGATTTTTTAATGAAAAACTGAAAACCTCAAAAGGCTTAGCACAGAGAGATGGCTGCAGTGCTCCCTGAGGATTTTAATTACATCTTGCTCTCCCTCTGCTTGAGCTGCTGTCGATGGCCTATGATTCACAGCTGATGGGAGAAGAGATAGAGTGCACAGGGAGCTTGCCTCTCTCCTGGGAAGCACGAAAGGGCGTAGGGCTTGCAACCTGAGAGTCAGCAGCAGATTTCCCAACTCAGAAAGATTTACATTTACAAATAAGAAGTGAATGTTTTCAGTGGAAGGATAATGAGAAAAGTGTTGGAGAAACAAGGAACACACCATTTTTGACCACATGCAACAGAAATGACAGGGTCACCTGCACATCCTAAGCTCTCCTGTCTTTTCTTCTTGCAATTAAGTGTGTCAGAGTCTACCACACTTTTCAGAGCTATCTTCAGCAGCCCCCCTGCTCCCATCCCTGGTGCTTCAATGCTGCCCTGGGTACTCCCTGTGCTTGTCCAGTCTGTCTCCTTTCCATGCAAAGGAAGGGGTCACTATCCAGGAACTGGATCTGGGGTTGTATAAGGCAAAGGGCAAAGGAGATGGGGCTTCTCCTCCACAGAGTTTCATAGCAGCTGGGATGTGCCAAAGCCTACAGAGCTGTTGCTGTCATTCCCCAGCTCCCCTGAGTACTGCTGAGAGTAAGACTCAGAGGTGGAGATGCTGCAGAGCCTCCATGGCCTGCTAGGAAACATCTGGATCAGGGCTCAATGGGTCTGCCAGCTCCAGGGGCATCCAGTTCTCATCCTCCCACAGAAAGACTCTCAGATGTTTCTTTTCAGCTCCACTTCCCACACCCCATCCCAGCCCAGTTCTCATTCCTGCTTCCTCTCCTTTTCCTTCCCGGTCCCAGGACCTTGATCTCCCTGCCAAGCTGGGTCTCCTCCAACAGTCTACTGGCTGTCATCTTCTGCCCCACACGGCCTCCTGCCAGTAATGCATCCAGACTACCTCAAAATTTGGGACACAGAACCTGGCAGTCGCACCTTGACCCACCCAAGCTGGGAGTCTGTCACAGCCTGGGGACCCAGCCCAGGTGTGACTCAAGCTGCTCACTACCTGCCATGGCTTCCAGTCAGGCAGGTCATTATACACCCTGTGTTCTGGGCTGGCTTCCCAGGAGACCCAATTTCACACAAGGATTTTGGGGACGGTCTTGGCACGTCCTGGTGCTGGTTACAGCTTAAATCCATCCAGGTATTTCCTTACCTACTGGGAAAGCCAAAAGTGGCAAATTGGTGTTCCTGACTCCCTCTTGCAATGCACCGCTTTATTCCCACCATCTGCTCCATTGAGCAGGTATTGCTTTGATATTGCTCTTGGTAGAAACCAGGCCACAGATCAGGCACCTTCATGCTCTCTTGCATGGCAATGCTGTCATTCCAAAATGCCAACCCACGTTTATGATGCTGGAAGAAGTTAATGCTCCCAGGGTACATCTGGTTCCCCAGGGGAGCAGAAAAGGCAAGTATTCAATAGCTGTGTGGCCCAGTAAATAATTTTTGATGTGTCAAAACCAAAAACCATCCAGGGATGTGGGTTATGGAGCAGCCCACCTGCCTGCCACTGCTGCCTGCTGGCAAAAGAACCAGCTCTAAACAGTCTGTGAGCCACAGGTAGCTCACAAGCCACAAATTGCCCAGCCCTGGAGGTGTTACACCATCTGCAAGCCCAAAATGCTACACCACTAGATTTGGGGAGCCAGGGTACCTGCAAGAAAGCTGTTGTGTGAAAGCTCTGCTCCTCAATAGCTTCCTTGCTCCTCCTTGTATGGGAAGGAACCTTTCTCTCCTTGTTCAACAGATGCTATGATTTGCTCCTTTTTCTCATCTGTAGGTTGTGAGAGAAATTGCTCAGTCCTTGGTCATTTCAGTGTCCCCTGGGGCAGCAGAGGTGGCTGAGGGATGAAAAAATACAAAATCCCTGCATGGGGCTGAGTCAGCATCCTCCAAGAACCACCGCCGGGCTGTATTGCTATCTGCATCCCTGTGGCAGGATTCCCCTGCCTTCTGCCAAGAAACGTGAGAGCCGTATGAATTTGATTTTACAGTGGAAGAAACCAATCACAGAAAGGTTTAATCATACTCTTCTTTTCCAGAGCTATCCAGCCCTTTTGGAGGATCACAGTGAATCCAGGTGTGATCTGGGCTGGACGCTGCTGAGCTTTTCTCCCCAAGACGTGCAGCACCTGATCCATTTGCAGCTGCTGTTCTTTGGTTGGAAATGGTATTTACTCACTGAAAAAATCTCTAGGCAAAGGTATTTTTGAATTAGGAGAAAGAATAAGAAACTCTACAGAATAAACAAGTTTAAACAAAGCTGTCACCACAGGCGACTCTTCTTTAACTCTGTTGCCCACAGCTGGTCAGTGCCACTGCAGAGAGTGGCACAGCTAAAGCTGATGATTGAAAGTGCAAAAATACATTGTTAAGGCAGTGATTATTCTCACCAGCAAACTTGCAGATCTGCTACAACCGAACTCTGCTCACTCTGCAGGGGAAGGCATTGGCTGCTCTCAAAATGTGGTCTCCACCGATATTCACAGGGACAGTTTTCACAACCTTCGTTCTGTAACACTGTCAACTTTTCACGGATACAGTGGGCACTTGTGTCAGCTCCTCTGCAAAGGACAAATAAGGTCTCAAGTGCAAAACCAGGGCATCTTTTAATAGGCCAGGACGGCAGCAGATGGTAGGAGAAGGTAGGAGAAAATTCACGACATAGCCCTTCTCATGAGAAACCCTTCTAAAAAAAAAATTAGATTGCAGCCTTTGACCCCTTTTACATGCACAAACCCAGGTTGCAAAGCAGAGGGATGCTGCTGGGTAGTGTTAGAGGTTGGTGGCTGCTCCTCCCTACACAAACTCCCCCAGATGCTGCCGAAGAATGGAGCGGCAGTTGGTTATTATTTTTAGCCCCCCATTCACGTGGTCCGAGGATCAGATGCACATTCCCAGATGCTCATTCCACAAATGCCGAGATCTCTCCAGCCCTCACCGCGCGGATGCACAGAGCTGGCATGGCACATCACAGTGCTGGGGGTAACAGCAGGGGCTGGAGGTTCAGCTCCCCCCATCCCACAGACCCACACGTACACGTGCATGTACACGCCATCTGCTTCGCTCAGGAAGCCTCCAGTGAAAGAGGCTTTCTAGGAAACTTGAATAAATGAGCGGGAGGAAGTCAAACTGAATCAATCCATCAGGGCACACACACTGACGAACAGCTCGCGTCCCCCGAGGACACAGACTTGCTGGGAAGGTGAAGGGCCATGTTTCAAGGGGAGAAATCAGACAGAGACAGGGAGAGTAGGAGGCAGGGGCTGCCTGTGGGGGGAGCAGGGTGTTAAAAGGGGGATGCAGGAGAGCAGGAGCTGGACCAGGCAATGAGGGCGAGCCAAGCAGCTGCAGTCCCTCGGCCAGGCACTGCTGGGGTGGGTACCACTTCCATTCCTCAAAGGAGAAGGCGGTCCATGAGGGTGCAAAGAAAGAAGAGAGAAAAACAAACTCTTGAAGAAGAGAAGTAGAACAAGTGGAAAACAGATTGTCAGCTCTGTCCTGACCTCTGCAGAAGCTGGAGGGGGACTCTGACATATCTGAGGTGTGGGGAACAAACTGTGCATGTGCAGAGCACACTCAGGACATGCATGGTCAGTCTAACCCTGTAGAAATATGTGTGAGCTCCCTTACCCATGCCCACTCAGCTCTGAATGGGCTGCCTGGCATCCGAAATGTCAAATGAAAGTCTGAAGCCCTCACCTTCCACCCAGGGAACTTTTCCTGGCAGGGAAAAGAGACGTCTGGGGTAACCCTCATCCAGGGAAGTTCTACTGGGAGGTGGTGTGGTATGGAAGCTGAATGACACCAGGCCTGCCCAACTATGGGACATAAAACGTGATCCAGCAGCTGCAACCTTAAGCCAGACAAATGCATATTAGGCATAAGATGTGTTTCTCTCAGGAGGCTTAATTAACCGCTGGTACAGCTTTGGAGGGCTGTGATGGATTCTCCATTACTGGCAAGGGTCCCATTTGCATTTGGAGGTGTCTCTGAGCGCTCTGCTCTTGTTCAAGCACAGATATTGATCTAGCAGCAGAACTGTCAGGGGAACAGCCCAAAGTCTGGGCTCCCCAGGCCATCAGCAGTAGTGGAGCATTCTTGATGGTGTCAGTTTTGGCACCAGTGGAGATTTGGGCTGGCACCAAAACTGAGAAGAGACAAAGACTGGTAGATAAAACCCAGGATACTGAAACACCTCTGATCTCAGTGGTGGATTTCAAGTGACCTTGAAACCCGTGATAAGGTGCAATGACCATAAGGACATGAACATCTCTGCTCCATGGGGGCTGTTCCCATGAAGTTATTGCTCATTTGCTCATGGCAGCACTGCAGTGGGCAAGCCACATCTTGAATGTCCAAGGCCAAAGGTGGGCATGGCTTTGCCTGCTCTGCAGGCTGTGAGCAGTCTCCAAACCATCCCACTCTTCCCTTACTCAGGGTGCTTGCACAGCTGTATGGCTGGGAGAGGCTCAGGGGGGGGTTGTGGGCTCAGGAGGACTTTTGCAAGCCACTGGGGTTGCCCCCAGCTTGGGTGCTTGAAGAAAACTGCTTACCTTGCTTAATGAAAAATTGTGTTTTCTTGCAAGGCTTCTATCCCTTAGAACAGTTTCTGGTAGTTAGCTATGGAGTGAGTCACTTTTCTTTGTGCCTCAGTTTCCAAACTGGCTGAGAGGCTGAGTCTGTTCATCTTGATTCAGTCATAGCGCTCCTGAGGGAGGAGGAGAAGTTGAAGCAAACCTGGAGCCCACAGCTTCCAGGGGCAAAGCCTCACAGCTCTTGATATCACACTTCTTACCAGCACAGTCATCTTGAGAGGGTTGTTGTGATACCCCAAGAGGCTTCTAGCTCACGGACACTCAGCAACTGCGACCGCAGCGTGGCACTACATGCTGTGCATCTCTGCTTCTTCATGGCATGTCCGAGGCATCCCGACTTCCAGGGTTGGCTGGAGCAATCCCCTTTGGGGCAGGATCCCAGGAGCAGCGTGGTTACTCCAGCAGCTTGGTGTAGGCAGCCTTGGAGGGAAAAGGGAAGAAGGGGAAAAAAGGACTTTTTCAGGTTCACAGCAAACCAGAGCATCTCTGGTGAGCAGGCAAATCTTTCCCAGATGCAGCAGGATCTCTGCATGTATAAGTGGTCTCTGTAATAACCCTCATCAGGGCATGGCATTCTTCCCATAACTAAAATTTGACATACTCAGACTAGTAAGCAGAGGAAATATTTACTGTTTTTATTAATAACCTGAAGAGACCTGTGCCTTCTGTTCTTTAGCCATAAACTGCCAGCCCCATATGGAGAAGATTTTCTAATGATCCTTCAATTTTCCACAATCCTCTATTGAAATATACAGAATCATTTCCCATTTCTGCTGAAGGTCAGTAATTTCTGAGTTACTGCAGAGTCCTGATGGTGAGCTCTTGCTGTCTGCAGGTCAGGAGAACTCTCCTCTGCCAAAAAGTACAAACAGGGGATCAGGCCTTTCTGGCTACCTAGTCTCCTGCACAGCAAACAAGAACTACAAATACTGTGAAATAATCTCAGGAAAAAATCTGGTTGCTGTTCCAGCCCTTAGAAAACATTTTCCTGTATCCACTGCTGCCCTTTAAACTCCAAGCAGCTAAAGCAGGACCTGCTTTCCCAGATGACCATTGAATTTATTTCCTCTTTTTTTGTTATTGTGTCTGGGATCCTTCTCTTTGTAAAATCTGTGTACCCATAGACAAACACACAAACACAGACACATACACAGAGATCTCCTGCCCATGGCAGATCCCATCACTGTTCTAAGGAGAAGTGTGGTCAATGACTGTTAGATTAGCCTGGGGCTGGCCCACCTGGGCTCTATCCCAGGCCTGCAGGTTGCATCTCTGTGATGTGCTGTGCCTCAGCTCCTTTGACTTGAACAGAGGAGGGATGATTCGGATCTCCTTCGCAAGGTGCTTTCAGATCTAGAGACAAGAAGAGCTGCGCTATGGTATCAGAGCCTCCCGATCCCATCATTATTTTGCATTACTTTGATGCCCTTGAAATCAAAATATCACACTGTGATTTCATTAGTTTTCAGAGAGGATATCAGCAATCTTTCTCAAGTGTGTGCATGCGTCAGGTGAGGGGCTGAGGGTGGTGGAAGTTACCTGAGATGAGTATTAATGACTAACAGCTCAAAGCTCCAACACTAGCAGTGAGAACATCTAAATCTAGATTGAGGCACTTAATTAAACCTTTAATAAACTTCCTTCAGCACATGGGCATAATTCTCTCTTGCTTTTTGAAACCATGAATTAAAAAAAAAAATGTTGTCCTCTCACACTGAGGAGCATGTTACTTCTACTTTACTTCAGCATGAGTTGGTATTCAGAGAGCAAGAGTATTCAGTGTTCAGCTCCCTCATTTCATCACCCAGGGCAGAAAAATTGAAGCACAGAAACTGATGTTTCTTTGTATCAAAGTCTTGATGCAGTCAGTGTCTTTGCAGGACCAGGGCAGTCAACTGGCCATTTTTGGCTAGCTATTTCAAGGAGATGAGTCAGCTTTGCATTAGGATTAGAACTCCCCCCAGCTCTGATCAAGAATGTCTGGATGCATAGGATGGAGGTCCCTGCTGCCAGTCAAAGTGGACCCCAGCCCAGCAACGACCCATGTTACTCAGTATTTTACCAGTGACTTTTGTAACCAATATATAAACCTTCATTTGGCCCAGACCAGGCAGGTGGCCCTCTAATCTTCCTGTTGCCATGGTCCTGGCTCAGATAACACACAGAAATAATAATAAAAATCCCTAGCATCATTAAGCTGCTATAATAATTAATTTTTAGTACTTAGCCCTACCTCTTACTCTTTCAAGAAACACAATGGCATTCCCTGACTGTGTTCATTCACCCTGCTTCTCCTTGGAGAAAAATCTATATCACATGCCCTGTTATAGAGGGAATGAATGATAACACGTCCATGGTCATCCATGCATTTCAGTGCACCAGATGGGAATATGGTATTATGTTTTAAACAGTTTTCTGTCCTTGAGTGGTAGTCACAGTGTTCCCTGATTCACAGGGAGCTGGAAAACTGCCAGAACAGCCACAAGCCTGCAACTAGGTCTTGCAAGTTTGGGCAGATTAGTCCAAAAGACTCCTCGGAGATCTAACCATGCTTTCAGTGATTTCTCTGTTGTTTGTTTTTTTTTTTTTATTGCACCAGAAGTGAGACATGTTATTCTGGATCTGTGGAGGGACATCTGTGATGTCTAGGCTGTGCTTGGAGCTTCAGGATGCTGAACCTCCCCAGAGATAGGCAGCAGAGCTGGTTGAATGCTGCTGGTCACATAGCCAGGCAAAAGCAGAGCTGGGTCCATAGGACATGGTCCTGCTCCCTGGTGCCGTGCTCACAACAGTCTGAAACACATGTCTAGGACACAGCACAGCAAGTTTTTAGTGTGTCCTCAGAGGAGCAACTTACTGCAAAACAGTGCTGCCTTCAGGAGCCTTATCTTTTCTTAAAGGTCAAAGTACGCCCAATCCCTCAGTATCTTAAGATTTCAGCACTCTCATGAAGGCAAATTGAAAGCAATTGTCCTTTCCAGTAAAACAAACCCTGAAGAACTGGGTTCTCCTTTCCCTTCTTCCCAGTCCCTTTGTTAGTGTAAACTGGACATGCTCTGAATTTAGGCTGGGGCAAGTGGAACTGGACCCAAATTCTTTTCTTTGCACCAGGGGAATGGTTGGGCAAACGGAGCTGGATTAAACTGGAATAGCACCTGCTCACTGACAAAGCCCTTACACCACCCTTGGCTCAGAGATGTCAGCAGTGCCTCACGTGCTCTGATGTTCATCTCCCAGGAGACCAAAGCCTCCAGAGACCTGTAGGTCAGAATCTGGGGAGTCAGGCAGGATGTGGGGGTGGCCACAGGATGGCCAATGCTCATCTGCCACCCACAGCACATCCTCTGGCTGCACCATGGTGTCCATCACAGACACCCCATCCTGCCCCCCTCCCCCACCAAGAGATATTTTGAGGGCCTGTTTTGATCTCCTTTGCATGTCAGTTATGCTATTTCTGAGCATTTTTATTTTTATTGTTTTCCGGTGGTGAGCTTGTTGTCTTACACTCTCGCCTTGATCTTTTCCACTTCCTCTCGCTTTCATGCCTCTTTCTTTCCCCGACAGGCTGATGGGTTGGGTGGTTTTGTCACAGCTAGTGGATGAGCTGTGTCCATCCCACGTTGGCCACCCCCAGTGGAGACTCCTCAGGGTGGTGGGAGTGCAGAGTCAGCCCCAGGGGTGTCCGTGTGGGTGCCATCACCCTCCTGCCTAGCTGGGTGTCTCACCTGTTCCCAGCCACCGCCAGCCAGTCGCTGTCATGTGGAGAAAGAAGTGTTGACTCATTAATTCTCACAATGTAGGTTATGGTTAGGCAGATGAGTAAAACACCTTCCAAATGGTGCAGCACCACAGAAAGGAAGGGTTTGCCCTTTAATCACTCGATTCCAGAAATGGTAAAACAAGCTGGGTGCTGGTGAAAGGGGCCATTGGGAGACCATGTCAGCTCCCTGCTGAGGAAACCCAGCTCCCATCTGGGAAGCTTAACTTTTGTTTAGTTTGGTTACTCAAAACAGACATTCTTCATCCAAAAATGGGGAGGGGGTTGAGGGGGAGAGAGCTAAGGGGAACAGCGGTATTTGGCAACTGAGAAGGAGAGAGAAAGAGAAGGGTGACTCTAAACTTTTTTTCAGCAAAACCTTCCTTTCTGCACCATCTATTTTTTGTTTTTGTTCAAAGTATGATTTTCCTCCACAAATCTTCAAGAAGATGTTTTTTAAAAAACCTATTTTTTTAAATACCAAAGACCCTGAATCTAAGCAGGTGTTGATGCCAGATCCATTGTAATCTTAGCCTACATTCAACACTTGTGGAAGAAATGCACAACCATGAATCATCACAGTTTTGCTTTAGCAGAGTTTTATTGAAGCAATTCCTGTGGTGAGATACAGGACAGAGTCTGATATGCTGACAGGATCAGCATGCACATTTCCACAGAGAAGGGGTAAAAAGCCAAGTGAAAAACTCAGGTGGTGTGAGTTCGGGACACAAACTCATGGCCAGCTGAAGACCAGCAAGCAAACTGTGACTCAGGTAAGTACTGCAAACCTGTGGCACAGGCAACTTGGATGAGTGCTACTGAAAGCCTGTGGATTCAGTACAGCAGAGAGAGTTGCAATAAACAATGAATCATTTATCGTTAGTATTGTATCATCAGGTGGTTAGTGAGGGTTTTCTCTCCAGCTAGGTTCTTGTCTTCCCATGGAACAGCTGGGATCAGCTGTTTGGGGAGGTGAACGAGTGGCATGCATGCCTTGAGTATCTGAGTCAGGCTGTTCAGCCTTAGGCTCCTCTGAATAGCCAGCAGCTCCCTGCAGAAGGACAGCATCAGCACTGCCCTTGCTTGCTCTTCTTCACAATCCTACTAGCACAGTGCCCCATCTTTCTTCTTCCTCCTTCCTCTTACTTCCTTCCAGTCTTACACTTAGTGGGTCTGATCCCACACTGCTCTAACTCACTGTAGGACTACCAAAATGAATGGTGTCAGGCAGAATCCTCTATGGTACGTGCTGGGCTGCCCATGAGCCCTTGGTTCTAGCCAAACACAGGGCAGATGGTTAGTTAATAGGTGGCAAGTCCCCAGTAACTTCAGTTAGGGTCAGCAGTCCAAAGGGTCAATTGGGAATCAGCTGTTTATCTTTCCCAAGGCTTTGTTTCTCATTTATAACTGCAGGGGAAAGCAAGGATACCTGCAGCAGGGAAAAGCCATGGTAAAAGCACTGAAACAACCCATGGTGCTCAGACGCAGGGATAATGGCAGTCAGAGAAGTGCTGAAGTTAGATAGCAAGAGGGAAGGGGGGTTTGGATTTACTCAGATGTAGTTTGGACAGTCCAACCAACTATCTCTTTCTTCCCTCCTCTTCAACCCCAAATTGGTCTTTAAAGAGAAACAGCTTTCTGGGGACTTCTCCGATACTCATTA